AAGAAGAAGAAGAAGAAGAAGAAGAAGAAGAAGAAGAGGAAAAAGAAGAAGAAGAAGAGGAGGAAGAAGAAGAAGAAGAAGAAGAGGAGGAGGAGAAAGAAGAAGAGGAGGAAGAAGAAAAAGAGGAGGAGAAAGAAGAAGAAGAAGAAGAAGAGGAAAAGGAGAAAGAAGAAGAAGAAGAGGAGGAAGAAGAGGAAGAAGAAGAAGACCACTTTATGGTAAGCAGAAGCATGACAGTCTAGTTGTTGTCAAGGCAATGTGACAAGGTAACAAGTAATATGGGAGAGACTGAAACCCCGTACCTGGAGTGAATCATCATACAGCGGGGAGTGTCTGTGGGCTCTGAACGCCACTTGCAACTCGGGCACAAGGTAAGACGAGTAGTTAACCAGATGACAACGAGTACCATCAGTATACTATCAATTATAATCCCCGTCCCTGTGTAGGACGAATTTTTCGTTATTTTGAAGAAATACCCTGGTTGTTGCTGGGGGCCCTAATATATCCTAACGGTTGAACGATGTTTCTGGGACCTCTCGACGGGTGATCCTCATCCGAGTGGTGGCACTTTGTGTCACCGGGTGTCATTAACCATCAGTATAAAGATTCCTCCTTGGCTCGATGGACGGGAGACGGTGCTAAAGTGGGCTTGCCCTGAATGCTGTGATGTCGACTCTGTACCTAGATGAAGGCAGTCTGGAAGAAATTAAACATTTCAGAGACAATCCCCTTGTGGGTCACTGGTTCTCATTATGGGGAAAACATAAATAGACTCGCTGCCCCCCCCCCCTCCTTTTTTTCCTTCCAACAAGCATGTCGTATAAGAATAGACTAATTGAGGGCTTCCATCGAAATCGGAGTGCATCTGCCTGAGGGGCAAAGAACCAACACACTGCATACAGTTAAGTCAAATCTGTTGAACAGATGTGCACGTAATGCTTAGGTTATCAAATAAGACTCAAGACTGTGGGGGACAAACAAGCAGAACTTTTCAGCCGGTAAATGCGAAGAAGAAGAAGAAGAAGAAGAAGAAGAAAAAGAAGAAGAAGAAGAAGAAGAAGAAGAAGAAGAAGAAGAAGAAGAAGAAGATGAAGAAGATGATGATCATGATCTTGATGGTGATGATGATGATGATGATGCAATATGCGAGTTTCATCATGGTTGCGTCCATCGCTGTTTCAGGAGACTCTACATCCGGTCCAGGGCAGAAGAAAAGATGGCATAACCGTGTCGACTACACAGCCTTAGTCACCGGCGATCGCTGACCTCACAGGAATTTGATAGCTTTTTGGAATCCGTAGGGTATAACCACGGTCAGCTGCAACAGTATGGCCGACCAGGTCTACGGAAATTCCCGTTTGGCTAGGCCGGTCTGTGCTCACCATTGTTATTATGTAAATGTATACTCAAATTAAGTTTAATTAACTTGCAATATATATTATTGAGTGAATTATCATTTTGAAGATAAATAAGTAATTGGAAAGTAGAATAGTCATAATCATAAAATATTTAAAAAAAATTGTTGTAAGGTAATGAAGCTGTAGTTTAATTTGTTTATAAATATAGTCGAAAACAGTGGTGAGCACAGACCGGCCGTGGACTGGCCTAACAAAACGGACATTTCCGTAGACCTGTTTTGCCTTATAGCTGTAGCCAGCCGTGGGTTTATTATCTTCTACAACACGAGAACCGTTAAAGTCGTTTCCTTCTGCGGCGTCCTTCTCGTCTTTCTTTGTGTTACCCTGAATCTAATTAATTTACTGTACTGCTGTATGTGGTGGTGTTGTGTGTGTGTGTTTGTACACATTAGGCACACTACCCCCCCCCCCCCCCCCCCGTGGGGGCCTGAAACAAAATGTATGAGAGGGCTAGCGGTCACTATAACCATGTATATAAGTTCTCTTTTTAAGAGGGTTTTGTTACTTTTTAATATTATATCAGATACATTTGTTTGCCCTTCAGTCCATTATTAATATTATTATTATTTTTATTATTATTATCGGGAGCTGCCATGGTGTACCGGCTAGACGCTCAACTGTGGATCCGATGGTCGTGGGGTCAGGTCCTTGCGGAGCCGGTCTCTTTTCTAAAAGGACCTTGGCTCCCAGGGCGATCCGGCTTTAAATGAATGCCAGGTAACGGCCTGTGAAGTAAAGGCGGCCTACGTAATGTTGACCACATCACCTACAGAGGGCCGATTGGTCTATAACATGCAGGTCTAGCTCTATATGCTCAATACGCTTGAAGACGTTTAAGATGTTCCTTTACTTTGCTTTATGGTGGTTTTTATTATTACTCACTGAAAACAGTCTTAGCTCTTAAAGCACTACCCAACCCTTTCCGCCTTAAAATATCCGTATGCCGGCTGTCCCCACTCCCAAGTACCCCAGTGTGTATAGGTCTGGAGTTTAAATCCACATCTGAATAGACCTTTTTTTTTTAATTGGCTTCTGAATTCAGTCATCCTTGAGTAGGCACTAAGTAATGTCATGGGAGGTAAAGCTCAACATTCAAGGGAAAGGCGAGACATATATAATCACACAGCTACTGGTGCTTTCGTAATTTTAACTCTTCGCTTGCTGCTGGAGATGGTGACGGAGCGCTGATAATAGCGTCCCGAGTGCTACAAATGTTGATTCTTATTTCAACATTAAGCTTCCATGACAAGCCCACCGTTTTGTCCAAGATGCCAATCCTCCATTTTTCCGGTCTTTTATTTACTAATTTCTCCATCAATTTTCCTACACAACTAAGAAGGCTGATGGGTCTGTAGCTTTGTTTGGTCTCTTCTGTCTCCACCCTTTTCAAGGATAGGCTGGATGAGGGCTTCCTTCCAGGCTGACGGTACTACCCCTTTTTTCCAGCTCTGGTTGTAAATGCAGAGAAAAAACTTCTTGGCAGCAGGTCCAAGATGAGAGAGAAATTCGTTTGTAGTGCCGTCAGCCCCTGGTGCTTTCTTCATTTTCAACTCTCCAATTCCAACTTCCAGCTCTTACATAGTTAACTTTTTTAACATGCAGGCCTCGGTTGTTTTTGTGTTAGAGTCTGCTAGAACAGTCTTGGTCTGGTTTCGTACTTCTTTTATTCTTTGCATGGGAATATGAACCTCAGTTTCCTTCTGGTGTGTTTCAGCTAGCACATCTGCTGCTACCTTGTCAGTAACAGGTCTGTCGTCTGAGTGGAGTACAGCTCTGGCTTTTTCTGTCTTGTCTCCATTCAGGCTTTTTGTGAGATTCCACAAACGTGAAGTGTCCTTCTCGAGGTTAAATTACACAATCAGTGGTCTAAATTAGTGGTCTCAATCAGTGGTCTGAATCAGTGGTCTGAATTAGTGGTCTAAATCAGTGGTCTCAATCAGTGGTCTAAATCAGTGGTCTAAATTAGTGGTCTCAATCAGTAGTCTAAATTAGTGGTCTCAATCAGTGGTCTAAATCAGTGATCTAAATTAGTGGTCTCAATCAGTGGTCTAAATCAGTGGTCTCAATCAGTGGTCTAAATCAGTGGTCTAAATTAGTGGTCTCAATCAGTGGTCTAAATCAGTGTTCTAAATTAGTGGTCTCAATTTGTGGTCTAAATCAGTGGTCTAAATTAGTGGTCTAAATCAGTGGTCTAAATTAGTGGTCTCAATCAGTGGTCTAAATTAGTGGTCTCAATCAGTGGTCTAATTTAGTGGTCTCAATCAGTGGTCTAAATCAGTGGTCTGAACCAGTGGTCTAAATTAGTGGTCTCAATCAGTGGTCTCAATCAGTGGTAGCAATTAGTAGTCTCAGTCAGTGGTCTTAATCAGTAGTCTCAATCAGTAGTCTCAATCAGTGGTCTCAATCAGTGGTCTAGATGAGTTTTTTGACATTTCCTAACGCACCCTCCCCCCCCCCCCCCATTCCCCCCCCCCTCGCCCCACAAGCTCCAAGTTGCAGACTACTATTTATTTTTAAAACCACTATTTTCGTGTTTTCGGATAGATATGGGTTTGGTTGGGTGTGTATGTATGAATGCATTTATATGCATGAGTGTATGTATATGGATATTTGAGTGTCAGTGTTTGTGTGAATGTATATCTGTGTATGCATGCATGAGAGTGTATATGTGTGGATTTATGTTTGTGTATTGATGTGTGCTTGTGTATGTATGAGTGCTTGTGTGTATAAAGATAACTGTGTACTTGTGTGTGTATATATATATATATATAAATATATATATATACATATATATATATATATGACTGTGTGTGTGTGTGTGTGTGTGTGTGTGTGTGTGTGTGAATTTCAGTGCATGGTGTGTACGCATGAGTGTGGGTTCTTGTATGTGTCTGTATCAGCATGAGTGCTTGTATGTATTTGTATCAGGGTGTATGTATGAGTGTGTGTGTGTGTGTGTGCTATGTATACTGTGGGTGTGCTTGTGTCTGTGTATGTATGGGCATTTAAAAGAAATATGTTCGTGTATTTTCGGAGTCTGTATGATTTTGTATACATGACATGTGTATGCATTATTCATTTATGTATGTTTTTATATAAACATAACATGCATAATTGATAACATGCAGAAAGATGGGTGCTTGCAAGGGCTAAATATAAGATAGACCTGCGTGCCCAATTTGTAACCTTTTGAAAATAAATTTTGTTGGTTTGTTCGTTCGGATATTGATACAAGAGTCGCACAGGGAAAGAGATTAAGGCCTCATCACAGAAGTGTCATTGAATAGCTCAATGTGCGTCATCTGTGTTTACTGAGCACGTTCTCATGTTTGCTAGCGAGAACTGCCGCATTCACGGTTCTGGTCAATGCTCCGTAATACTTTAAATAAAAATGTTGAAGACATTCAGGGGTGCAATTTGTTTTCTGTGTTGTTTTGTGTTTTGTGTGGTCATGCATTTCTTTGTTTGTTTGTGATCTGAACTCACAATAAGGAAAAACAGGAATAGACTTACCGCCCCCCCCCCCCCCACAAGCATGTCGTATGAGACCACTAACTTGGTCTTCTAATTGGGGTTATAGGTTAGTTGTGTATCTTTTACATGACGTTGCAGAACCAACACCAACGGCCCCTGGCTGTTGTGTGGTATTTCTAGGCAAATTGACGTCCAGTAGTTTGCCATTGCCCCTGGACGGTCGGCTTTCTTGATACCACTGTTGAAACCAACGCAGGGCGCATGGCCAACAGCTCGGATCGAACTCGGCATCCCGGCATTACGAAGCGTTCGCATCGACTTAGCCACAGAGCCGACCATTGGGGCTATATGCAATATAATTAAAGGGTCCCTTTGCACACCTGAGGCGCATAGTGCATATGTTGTTAGACTCACAGTGTTCCTATAGACGAACTGGATTTCCGTGGGTGATGTGTTCAACATCTTGTCGACAGCCTTTACTTTCCACGATATTGCCTGGTGACTATTTTGAGCTAGACTGATCCGGAAGTTCAGGTTACTTTTGAAAACAAGGCATTTTGTTGAGGATTTTTCTTCCTCCTCTTCTGCTCTTCATCCCCCTCCTCCTAATTCTTCCTCTTCTTCTATTTCTTCTTTTTTCCTCCTCTTCTTCTTCTTTTTCTTCCTCTTCTTCTTTTTCTTCTTTCTCTTCTTCTTCTTCTTCTTCTTCTTCTTCTTCTTCTTCTTCTTCTTCTTCTTCTTCTTCTTCTTCTTCTTCTTCTCCTTCCTCTTCTTCTTCTTCCTTCTTCTTCTTTTTCTTCTTCTCCTTCTTCTTCTTCTTCTCCTTCTTCTTCTTCTTCCTCTTCTTCTTCTTCTTCCTTCTTTTTCTTTTTCTTCCTCTTCTTCTTCTTCTTCTTCTTCTTCTTCTTCTTCTTCTTCTTCTTCTTCTTCTTCTTCTTCTTCTTCTTCTTCTTCTTCTTCTTCCTCTTTTTCTTCCTTCTTCTTCTTTTTCTTCTTCTTCCTCTTCTTTTTTTTTCTATTTCTTCTTCTTCTTCTTCTTCTTCTTCTTCTTCTTCTTCTTTTTCTTCTTTTTCTTCATCTTCTTCTTCTTCATCTTCTTTTTCTTCTTCTTCTTCTTCTTTTTCTTATTCTTCTTCTTCATCTTCTTTTTCTTCTTCTTTTTCTTCATCTTCTTCTTCTTTTTCTTCTTCTTCTTTTTCTTCTTCTTCTTTTGCATCTTCTTCTTCTTCTTCTTCTTCTTCTTCTTCTTCTTCTTCTTCTTCTTCTTCTTCTTCTTCTTCTTCTTCTTCTTCTTCTTCTTCTTCTTCATCTTCTTCAACTTCTTTTCTTCTTC